TATGGCTAGCACTGTTATTATGACAGTATCTATCAGCAAGCTGAATGAACATCACCAAATGGCTTGAACCCCTTGGGGAACACGGCAGAAAAATGCCTACCTTCTGAACTCAGGCTTAGGTGTAAGTTGGAGTCTTGAGCTGCTCAGCCCTCTCAAGACTGGGACACTTCAGGACAAGGCACAGAAGTACAACTCTGAAGAGTGAGATTTATAGCACTTAACTCTATCCATCTGAACTCAGGCATCTTGTTTTTACACACCCTCTCAATAAAGAGTGATATGATCACCTGTTCTTTGGAGACACACAAAATGTGTCTAAGTCAGGTGCGCCAAACTGATCACTACAGAGGATCACCCTTCTCCACTGATTGTACTAAGACCATAGTAATGGTGAACTCAAAATAGGGTTAGATAAAACGAATCCTCTTTTTAAAGCCAAGCAGGAAAGCCACTCTGGAGTCAAAGTGTCTCCAGGGCTAGATGGCATGGAATCTACCACTCTAGTCTTAGGTATATAAACTCTGGTTTAGGTCATTATTTAGTCTCTGAATCTTTTTGAGAACTGTTCCTTAAGACATTCCTTCCATAACTGCACCTTAGTCTTACATTTAATCACTTGCCACAATATTTATACTAGAAAACTGAATTAATCAGACCAAACAATTTTGAACGCATTAGGAAAATAAATTTAAAAAACCCAACAAAACAAAAAACCAACCACAATCACATTTATCTTTCCTCATCAAGTGTATGTACTGACTGGTACATACAGTAACACTTACCTGATGTTCTTTACAGAACAGCTTTCTGCAATATGATGCAATACCTGTATTTTTCTACCCTTTTCCCAGGTCAGGCTGGATCTAAATGAAGTGAAGCGCTCAGGGGAAGGGAAAACTTACTGCATCTCTGTCTGAATAAGAAGCTACCCTATGGTGTACCGAACGTGGTCTTCATATAAAAATATATACAGTCTCCGTATTTGTTTTTCCTAATAGTTTCTCTGATGAGGAGTTCTAACACCTACCCTGTGGTCTCTTCGATGTTCATAAATGTCTTGATGACCAATGGTAACTCATATTTCACTATGAAGAGGTAGCTTGACATAGCTGTAGGTGAATAACATCATAGATCATTACAAATATAGAATATGCCACACGATGCAAGAATCACATAACATGTTTCATAACTTCACTTGAACACAAGTAGTTAATGAACACATGTTGTGTGACAAATAAGTCTCCAAGAATAAGCAGGGAACAATTACTATTGACAGTACAGACATTTTAAGATCTTGTCCTCACCTCCAATGTTCTGCATTGTAATTGATCCAGAAGCAGCAAGTTTTCCAGCCATACCAAAAGCCTTCATTCCCAACTGTTCATATAATAAAGATCCTAAAAGAAAATACGATATCCCATTGGAGGGGTGTATTTCAAGAAAATGCCATAAGAAACAAATGCTACATATTTGTAAAAGAGTAATTTGCCATACCTCCTTCATTGGCAGTCTTTAAAAGAAGATGCACTGAATACAAAGAAACTATTGAGACAAACAGCAGGAGAATCCTGGGGAGAGAAAAACACACAAATTTGTAATAACCATAAATGACTTATTGTAACCCTATTAAATAAAAATGTATCAAAATATAAACATTATCCATATTAGGATATTATATGGGGAAGGATTCTAAGGTCAGCTGAAAGTGTTCTGAAAACCCAATTAATGCCGTGTGTAGAAAGGATTTTATACTAAATTGCATTTCAGAGGCATACAAAGAAATTCTACTGTAGGCTTGAACAACGATTCTATCCAGTCTAAAGTGGCATAAGCACACCAAGTGTCAGGCTATTATACTTGGCTACATTTGGTAATAAAAAACTTTACAAAGTATCAATGGGAATGTGTGCAGGTGGAGGGAAAGGTTTGCATCCTTGTAAGAAACTGTATTTTTCCCATCTTCCTGCCCCTGTTCGACATTGAGGCTAACTAAAGCTGAAGTGAAGATTATCTCTTGGTCTTAAAAAAAATCAGCTTTTGAGCTTAAACCTGTGTTCTTTTTTTTATGTAAGGATGAAACTGCAAAAGCCTTAAAGAATTGACTGAAAATTCAGACTCATTGAGAGCTGTGTTTTCAAATGGAAATACACATCTATTGTCATTTAAAAAAATTCTTTCCTCAAAAGTTAACTCTTCAGATGTGCTTACATGGGAATCGCTAGTGGCTTGTTTATCTTCCCCACAGCTTTTACAGGCAATGCATATTACTTCCAGAAGCACATTTGCATCACCTAAAATTCGGGTCTCTCAACAACAAATCTCTCCCACAACAAATGCACTTCCTGGAGTGGCACGCTAGGGGGGACTTCTCGGCTGCTGGAGAACACAGTGGAAAATTACAAGGCATTAAATAAAAAACCCTGGTCTTTCTTATACCAATACAAGCATTTTGCTTAATAGGAAACCTGAGAACCAGCATATCAAAAATGGCTTAAAAATGGCAAACTTTGCTTCCCAGAATACATTTCCTTTTGTGTCATTTTTAATGTTGGTAAAGTTAGTAAATGCAGCACAAAGAACTGGAAACTAAAAGATCTGAGAAGCTTCACAGATCTGTGTAGGAAACTTACGTTACTGTGCCAATTCACTAACACTAGCACACGCACACAAATAAACCTCTCTATTTCTGACAGGTAGAGATTAACTAGGATTTGACTCAGCCATTGGGTAGAAACAGCTCAGCTGAGATGTGCCAGGGTTACACTACTTTAAAACAGCACAGACCCTGGGCCTCTCAGTCCTAACATGGAATGGCTGCCTACAGTGTAGACAATATCAGTCAGCAAACTCATCTTGAAGCTCACTCCGTTTCTGGCTTCCAGACCATTCTATTCATTTATTTAGTGCTGACACAACTGACAAGTCACAGCACTTACACAAGTGCCTCCACAGTCTTCGAAGAACTTACTGCCCTAATCGACTGCATCTGGATCTGATTCTGTAACCTAGTTATTAAGGGCTGCCTGTAATGCCCTCACTGTCATCATAAATCCTCAGTATCTTCTGTGATTAACTGTTTTCCTGCCTCAGAACTGTATGATCTACAAGTTTTGAAAGGTAACAAGCTAGTTTGTCTTTGAAACAGCACTAATGCAAGTAAGATCTGGACGCAGCAACTGGAAATAAAAAACAACTAAATTGCCTCAGCATCCAATTGTTAAATTGACAGTTTTTAACATTTTTTTCCTCAGAAAAGAGGACCCTCAAAGTCTGTTCAAATAGCTAACCTTAAATGCTCTTTTTTCCTCTCCTCAGAGACATTCTAATGTGCATTATATTGATTAGCTTTCATGTGCTGCAGAACATCTTTAGAGCATGAATAACTATTCTAGACTCATGCTAAGTCATTCACTCAGTTTAGCATCACCTAAGCAAGTGAAAATCTTAGTAAGAGATTAACAAATCACCATATGCTTAAAATCCTTTAGGTCCGAAATTCACACATAGGTAGTTTCCTCAGGAAACTTGAGCACCACTCGATACTGTGAAACATCTGGAAGTAAATCTGACCTACTTTCTGGAAATCTGGCAGCAGAGTCAGGGAAATTTTGAACTAAACATTGCTCTTCACATGTTCTTGAACATTCAGCACATTCATCTATTTCCAGGATAAAAACACAAAGCTCCTTTTAACACACCCATGGATACTCATTTGCAGTCAAGTCACTGATAATACATGTTGTGTGAGCTGAACTGCCTCCGATACATGAAAAATGTACTTCCCAAGACATTTAAAAGCACTGTACATAACTGGATCCTCATGTCATTTCCAATTACATTACTGTAGTTCTGCCCTACACCTCAAAGCTTTCGCCAATGTAGACAGGCCAATAAAGACAGGCTGGTTATTCCACATCCCTCCCTTGCAGGCAGACAGAAATTTTTATAGGTGTAACTGAAACCATACCCCTGAAGAGAATGAGAGCACAGCAATAAAACAGACTTCTTTATTGGTTAAGTACATTGTAACTCTGTAGACACAGTGATGTCACTTGAGGAAAGCGAGACCACATCCCTGATTGGGACTTGGATAATAGAAGTTTCAGGGGAAGTCTAACAGTTATTAATGGAGAAACTGCGGCTAAGTCAAGTAAAATTCACTGTAAAATGTTTTTGAGGGTTGCAGAACTTGCAATGACTCGGTTTAATTTTTGCAGGTTCTTCTGAATGTACCACAATCCTTAAATTCAAAACAAGCCTAAAATGCAATTCTGCACCTATGAAAACGACTGGATGTTTTCTAGGGGTCATATTCTTACACCATGTATTTTTCCATTATGAATTACACACCAGAAAGCTGGGGTTTTTTTGATGAATCAAAAGATACTTACACAAAAAGAGCAATTCCAGTGTTAGCCATGGCAAAAGAAAGACCAAGGATGCCACTACCCACAATAGCATTGCTCAGATTAAATACTGACATTCCAAAGGAAGTAGTACCCGGATGCTGAGGAAAGACGGATAGGTAATAGTTAACAGAAAGTTATTAGTCATCTCAGAATTAAAACAAACATAAAATTGGCAGTACATTTTTGTTTGTTTGTTTGTTTATTTGGAATGTCATTGCCAGGTACTTACATACTGAGTTTCGTATTTCTTCTTTCCAAGATTGGAGTCCAGCAAGAAATTTTGGTTTTCTGGATCAATATCCGCATAGTGGCTGCAAAACAACGTGACATTATTAGTGACTCTTACGGGAACCTTGCACATTCACTTCCCGATCATCATTTCCGACACATTTCAAAGGGAAAAGGAAAAACCGACGGAATAACCCCGAAAGAACCACCCCACCTGCGACGGTGTCAGCGCGCGGAGCGTTGCGCCCGTCTCCGGCCGCAGCGATTCCCGTGTTTTCCGTACGGATTTGCCGACAGACGCTCGGCACCGCCGGGTCTCCGGCCGGTGCCGCCCGCCGCGGGAGCCCCCTCACCTCTTCATGGCAGCCGGCTTGGTGGGGTAGGGGTAGCTGAAGTCGTTGCTGTTGGAGCTGTAGCTGCTGCTGTCCTCGTCGGGCGAGATGTTGAACTTGCCCATCTCGGCGCTGCTCATGCTGGCGGGGCGGGGGTCGGCGCTCGGCGGCGGCCGCTCTTTTGTCCTTGCCGGCGGGACGCGCCGCGCCTGCGGAGGGGGCGGGAGGCGACGTCAGTGCCGCAGCGGGCGCGAGCCCGTCACGTGGCCCCGCGGCCCCCGCCCGCCGCCGCCGCCGCCGAGTGGAAAAGTACCAGGCGCGCGGGGCGGGGGGCGCGCGGACAAAGGTGAGCCCCGCGCGGGGCGGGGGCGCGCGGCCGACACCGGCACCGCCCGCACTGACACCGGCACCGCCCGCACTGACACCGGCACCGAGACAGCGGCACCGCCACGCCGCACTCCCCCCCCCTCCCCCCTCCGCCTCCCCGCCCCGATAGCGGAGAGCGGACTGATGCAACACCGATGGGCGATTGTCACATCGGCTGCCGGAGCCTCCCGCCCCGCGGCTGTCCCTCCCTGTGTTTACCTCCCGCCTCCCCGCCGGCGACACCGCGCGACCCGGCGTTTCCAACGGGAAAACGCTAACCGGTCGCGGGACCGCGTCGCGCCGCAGTCGCTTTGCGGGTTTGCCGCCTTTCCGGGATGCGGCGGCGGCGCATCCCTACGCGCGTCTCGGCGGAGCCCGGCAGGGTCTTGGCGACAAGCCGGGGCGCTACCACCGCACAAAGGCGCGAAGGACGAGCCGTGCTCCGTCCCAAAAGTCACCCCGTTCTTCTTGGCGGCCCGGTAATAGCCAGCCCCTGCCGTACCTTCTACGCACGAGCTTGAAAGCGAGGGTTTCTCCCGAAGCCTCGGAATAACGAGATTCTCCTGTCTCCGCTGCTACTTCTTGCAAGGGAAAAAAGAGCCCTTAACTATGAAATGTCAGCGAAAACAAACCCCTAGATAAATAAAGGTAGAAAAAAAAATCGCGTAAAAAAGTCAGAGGTATCAAAAGGAAAGAAAATTTCGCGTCTGTATCGCTCCGGCGTCCCTCCCGCTCTGACGGCCCCCTCGGGGCGCCGCCGCTCTTCAGGCAGGAATGTGGGCGTGTCATGGCAGGGGCGCGGCGCCCGCCCGCCCGCTGCCGCGCCGCCCCCCGCCCTGCCCGACTGACCCCCTGCCGCCGCCCGGGCCGGGCCTGGGGGGCACAGCGGGCGGGGGGCGTCCCCGACTGAGGGCTGGGTGCCGGTCACCGGCGGGGGTCGGGAGCGCGGCCGCTAGCACATGAGCCGAGCAGCTCTCCAGTGTTTACATTGGGGCACTGGTTTACACGGCGGAGACGGGACGCTGCGGTGCTTGTCAGAAGCGCTCTCCCTGAGAGCCGCTTCTACCGGCCCAGTGCAGCATGCGCAGCGTGACTGCAGCACCCGGTGGCCACCGGTTCACCCGGGATTCTGCCTCCCTCTTCCACCCCGCGCCTGCCTCCGGCGCGGGACGAGGTGCCACGGACCCGCCATAGCTCCCCGGTGCAGTCACTCGCTATTTTTAACACCCGCAGCAGCGCACGTGCAAGCCCGGAGCCCGAGGGCAGCCGACAGACTCCCCGAACGCTTCCTTCGGGAAGTGAACCGGAATGACAGACTCCCCCCAGTGATGCGATTCACGATAAACCCCATGTAGGGAAGAGAGGGGGAAACAGAACATCCTGCTTCCTTTTCCTCAGGTAACCACTCCGGAAGATTTGGAGAGCTTTGCTGCTCGGCCCCCTGTGGAAGTGGACGGCGGGGTTTTACTGTGCGCCGCAGCTCCTCACAGGCACGGTGCAGGGACACGGTTCCGAAGGAGGCTTGACAGGGGTAGGGGGGGGCCCGCTTGGCTGCTGTCTCTAGCGGGACAGGGGGGTGCAAATCAGCCTCGCCAGCTCCTGTCCTCGCGGCAGCAGTGCACTCCCACGCCAGGCTGGGGCCGCCAGCCTCGAGTGTGGAGGATGCCCTGCCACCGAGTCGCTTGACCCCCTGCGTTATCGCCCTCGCTCCCTTCTTCTGCAGCATCGAGAGCCCGTGGAGGGTGCGAGGGGCGGCTGCCTGTCTGCTGTGCCGGGGCAGTGGCGGCCGCCGGGACACGAGAGCAGTTCACACCCTCGAGGGATCGCGAATCCCTCACCAGCATCCCCGCTCCTGGGCCCGCTGCAGTGCCCGCGGCTCTGACGGGGACACGAGCCTCCCCAGGGCTGAGACGGGCGGGAGGACAGTGACTCTGTCCCGCGACTGTCGCCGGGGCAAGCGGGCGGGAAGGCGCCGGGCGGCGCGAGGCGGCGGCACCCGACCGCCACCGCCGCCGAAGATTCTGGACCGCCCCCGCCGACGCCGGGATGGGGGGCGGGAGTGGAAGCCGGGAAGGGGCGGGGACCGGCGAGGGCACGCCCAGGAGATGCAGGAGCCGAAAATTTTCCATCACTGCAGTCGTCCCCCGCCCCCATCCGGCGCGGTACGTCAGGCGCCCCCCGCAGCGCGGCGCGGCGGGGCGGGAGCGGGCGGGATGCGCTGCGGCGCCTTCCGCGCAGCCCCGGGGCGCACAGGGGCGGCGGCGCACCTGCTTCCGCGGGAGCGGCGATTGAAATGACCCCGGAGCTCAGCTTGCGGCGTTCTGGGCTGGAACCGGCCCCTGCCCTGCCGGTGCGCGGCGCCCGCCGTCACCCGGTCTGCGGAGCGCGACTTGGGGTGCCTGTGGCGGTGAGGGGCGGTCAAGTCCCCCCAGGAATGCCAGTCCACGGCGTTTTCGGTCCTCTGAAAGTCTGACTGCACAACGGGCAATTTACAAAGGCTTCGACAACGTGACGGGTTAAATCTAAAGGCTGCATCGCTCGCCTTCCCAGCGCAGTCACAGCGATATGTAAATAAGCACTACTGCGGGGGGAACGCAGGGCACACGCTTTTTCCAATGGGAATGGTGAATGCTTGGTGCCTTTTTCAGTCAATCCCATTCTTCGGGTGTCAGCAGTTCTGTGAAATTACAGAGTACATGACAGAGGTCAAGGTGACCTGTTTGTTGTGGGTTTTGCCAGTGTAGCAACAGACGTAATGACGTATTCGTAACGTTTTTGGGACTGTATCATCCATTTCAAGGCAAGCGCACAGATTCCGTGCATGGTAAAGTGCCCTACATGCGCCTGATAAGTACAGCAACCATCTTTATAGATGTGATCTGGTTGTCGTGGACAGTACAGCTTTCAAAGAAGTTTAAATCAGATTTTTTAGCAAAATAAAAGTTCTACTCTACAAGTGCTTGATTTTTTTTTTTCTAGAACTGTCCTCATTTTATATGGAAAACCATGATGAGGATTTGTTGCTCATTTACTAGAAGAAAGATTGGTAAAATGCACCCAGGAAGAAAAATTGCTGTATTTCTAATGGCCCCATTATTGGAACTCTGCAACATGTGAGTGCAATCTGCACTGCTCAGAATATTGAGTCTGTAAAATTTTACCCATGCAGTCTGTTTGCTGGTTCAAATGATCTGCTTTTTTCAAGTGGTTTTAAGTAATGTCTCCCTGATTGAATTGTAATTTTCCTGACTTTGTAATTGCCAAGAATGTCCTTGGCAAAACATACACAGAATGTGTTTCATCCAATTTTGAAATGTATTTTGTAATCGGAATAATAAAAGTTAATATTCATCAGTTCCTCCCACCATAGTTTCAACGATTCATTTGTTTTCATTGTCATGCTTTTCTTTCTCTCTTTTTTAACGTGTTCTTTTGTTCTTTTCCTCCCTTTCCTTTGTTTTTTCATCCTCCTTATCCCTAACTCACCCTCATTTTTATACCTTCCATTTGTTTACTTTTAATTTTGTTCCTTTGTGTGCATTTACACACTGGATGGTTCCTTACAAAGTCTGAGCATTTAGGATAGTTAAGGATAAATTTTTTTACTTTTGGTCTGGAGATTCTCTTCCTGCTTTATGTTTTAAGGCTGTTGTAAAAGAAACTGTAAGTTTGTTGTTAGTTAGGTATTGTAAAAATTAAATTGTGTTCAGTGACACAGGTATAAATTAACTAGAGTTTTCAATTTATTATACGGGGAGATAATGGGTGTTTTGTAGCTGAAGAACGATCTGCTGTGTGTTTCTAAATGTCAGTTTGCAGTGGAGAGCTATCTGTAGATTGACACCTCACTCTAATATCACCTGTAATTCTTCATCCTGTAAATGGTTTCCTTTAAAATTTGATTATTTGTTTTTATATTGAGAAAAAGAACTAGCTTTCAAGTGCCTTTTTTTTTTCCTTATGTTTTAGCAAATGAAAGGCCTTTATAATATGGGAGGGTTTTTTCCCATGCTATTTCTTCCTACATATATAAGTAAATCTTGAGAGATACCATAAAACTATCTGTAACACACATCCAGTAGAGTCATTTATGTTTATGGTATGCATGGAAAAGTTATGTGTACAGTAATACTGTTAAAGTCAAGTCCGTTCACAGGGTTTTTAGATGATTCTTCTTAAATTGCCCAAAGGATATCTAATGAAATATGTAATATTTCAAAGCACTCTGTACTAATAGCTACATAACATTAATTTTGTCTGTGCCCAGCATGAATAATATAAAAATCCCAACAGAGTAGAGATCTGCATCGGGTGAAACCCTCAGTACTGCCAAGAGTCTGGGGAAGGATGGTAGTGGAGAACAGTAACAGAGACCTGAGAGCTGTGATGTGTCCTGAGTGAAACATCTGCACTACTGTCTACATGACAGATGCAGTCTGTCATGAGGAAGAGCTGGAAGTATGGGTGAGTAGGGAAAACAAGGATTCATGGTTTTGCTGCATAGACTGAGTGGTCCACAAAGATGCAGGCGGGGCTAATGGGTTCCACCATCCTTCCAACCAGTTTGGTTCATGATTCTTACCTCACATGGACTGCCTGTGGCGTGCAATTAATGAAATTATAGGTTCTGATTGTATGCTTTCTTAAACAAAACTTCCACTGAAGCCAAGAGGTATTACGAGTGCAAAAGGAATGCAGGATTGCATATCCTGCCTCTTGGGCTTTGTGATGGTGTGTTGGAGCTACATATTAAACTTGGTTTAAGCCTTAATTTTTTCCCTCTGTGTTTATTCTAGTCTAGTTTCAGTTTTGCAATATGAAAACAACAAGATCGCTATGTTAAAATATAAGCAGCACTATTCTTTCAAAAAATTAGTACATTTACTATAATTATAACTTGGATTTAAGCCAAAAAGAGGGATCAATTCTGAGTTTTAAAACCATTGGATTATGCTGTTGTACTGCAATAAACTCAGAACAGTGAAAGCTGCATGTGATATGTAGTACTAATCAACTCCAAGAAATTGTCAGCCTTAAATGGACATTGCCAGCTGCTTTAAAAATAGTTATTACTTAATATTTTTAACTCTGTAACATTTTTAGGAGTTTTAAAAATAGTGTTTCTCTGTTAATCTTGATTCATCTTTTCCACTCAGCAAACTCTGATGTTTTTTCCTGTGTGAAATTTACATAAGTTTTTAAGGTCGTGGTGTTTGTTTTGTTTTTGCTTTTGTTTTTGTTTTATATTGTTTTGGTTTTATTTTGTTTTTGTTTTGTATAGTACAAATCTAGAAAAGCTTTGGAAATGGTATTTGTTAATTAACTGAAACTCTTGTCATTTTATATAAGCCATTCCACATATTTTTGTTTAGATTCTTATGGGAATAACAGCTACTATTTTTGTTCTTTTACCATTTGCTGTTGGCAGAGAGTATAATTTAAGATATGCATTTGGATTCCCAGAGATGTTATTGCCATTACTACAGCAGTCTGTGCATCAGTATCATTTATTGTGTCAGTAGATCTTGGAGGACATTGTTTGCCAACCAAATAATGCTTCACATCTTTGGAGAGTCACTTGCATTTTTGTGTCTCCCCTAAAAATAGCGTAAGTTTAGGAAATGAGAAGTTATCTGGGCAGGTTGCTATGCAAGAGGTGTATGCAGAAGGAAATAAAACTGGAACAACTGTGTAGTTATGAAGAGGCTTCTGTGTTTTTACCAGACAGGATAATTGTGTATGCACTGATATGGCAAAGAAAAAGGCCAGTTAGGGCAGGAGTTCAACAAGCACTGTACTTTGATGGAGAACAAAGTCCCAGTGAACCAGGAAAATCAGCTCCTCACTTTGCATTTCTTGTCAAAAATACCATGAAAACAGTCATCAATACAAATATATTACAACTGGATCTTTATTTTGTAAATTAATGTGTGTAACTTAGTATGCATTGTTTTGGTAAAATTGCTGCTATTCCTAAACATCTTGAGGACTGGATCCTACTTTGTGGTAGACAGCCATTACCTACTGAACTTAAAATTCTGGTTTTTATCTCCAGTGCATAAAGAACAAGAATCGTTATTTACAGTATCAAAATAGGTGCCTAAAATCTGATACTTTGTGTCTGACAGTGGCCAGAAGAGGATTTTTCTGTGGCAAAGGTAGGAAAGAGGATAGGACCATGCAATTGAATGTTTGAGCAATCTGATGTTTAGGATTTGGGATTTACTGAAGCAAAGGTTGTGTTGGTTGTATTTCATAGTTTCTGGTACTATGAAAGGAAGTTACTACTTCCTTTAAAATCCACATAAAATTGTTGAATCATTTTTGAGCCCATGTTTGGTATTTATCATAAGCAGTGACAAAACTTACTTAGGCATTTACAAAAGCTTCTTCCGTTTTTAAATTTTTTGCCCCAGACTTCTTCCTGATCAGTTCGTTTGATATCCTCTTGTTTTGCACAGTAAGAATTGGGTTTTATACACCTTTATTCTACATTGTATGTTATCATTCTTGAAGTCAAAGAGTCCTAGTCAATCTGAGAGAAACTTCAGTTCCCTTGGATTCCTGTTGTAGAGAAAATGAAGATTGTTCAAGTTGTTTTAGGTACTCTCTCCTTTGTTAGAGAATGAAATTTAGACCTGGGGTCTTTCATAAAATGTCAGCAAGCAGCTTTTACCTTGACTTTTTTTGCAGTTGCTCTGTATTCATGTTGATGTGTGTTCTTCTGCATGTTCTGAGAAAGAACTTCTCCCTCACGTTTTTAGACTGTTTGCTGTAGGTCTGAGTATTCTAAATGGGCTGGTGTCCATGTGTAGAAAATTTGTAGCCATTTATTTTTTAATTTTGAAAGATGATTTTCAGTTGTGAATAATTATGACTCAAATTTGTAAACCCATTTTTTGTGGGAAGAAAAAATCACTCTCCTACCTTAATATGTACAGTTTTTTGTAAATAAAATGAACATCTTTAATTTAGTCAAAGAAATCTTCATGGATCAATTCCTGGCAAAAACTAGGAATGGTTAAATAACCTAGTTTATGCACTCTTCCTTGTATGCGAAAAGAAGATTTGAAATAAATTAGTGAACAAAATTATTACATAAATTCTGTAGGGTGGTAAGGACATTTTTGTTTATATACATACCAGAGAATTTATGTGCTTGGAAAGACATCCCCCTCCTGTTTATCTCCTATGTGCAGAGGACTTTTACGGACTAAGGAGCTGCTGAGTCACACTTTCACTGAATGACTGACAGCCCTGCTCCTACCAAGAACTGGTAGATTTCCTCGCCTGCGTATCAGGCGAGCGGAGTAACACCCCTCACTTAGGAAATGAAAGTATGACACAGCATTATAAGTGACTTCATTGAAAATGCTGTGAGCAGCTGAATGGAAATGTGTTCAGGCAGCCATGTAGGGCAAATCCAAATCTATCCACATTAAATTATTTACTGGCAGTGATGATTCGCTATTAAAGAAAGCAACATAGTAGTATTCATTTCAATGTGCTGAACTAGCAGTTTTGCAGTGCAGTAATTCAGAGGAAATTTTGTCTGAATATATGAGTAGTAATAGATCTGAGAGAGACATGGAGCTCTCTGTTGGCAATGTTTGCTGAGTTTGGAAAGATATGTACATAACTAGAGTAATTAAGTCTAAGCCTAAATAATCTACAATTTATAATACAAATATATAAAATGTATTGAATAATTTGTGAGTCCAAAATAAATTACAAGGAGCTGTAAATATTGTCTTCCTCTTTAAAAATGTAGGAAGATTTTGTTGTGGAACCATAAATATGTTCAATGCATTTATTTCCCCTTGGTATGTGACATTTTAAATTGGCTTTTCCTTGAATGTTTAAGTACATGCTTGGGGTATGACAAGCAGAATACACTTTACATTTACAGAAATAACTGCTGTTATTACTTCCTTTAAAATCCTTTAAGTAGTTCATTTATGTTGCTGTTAGAACAGAATTGTTCCATAAATGTCACAGCTCTTCACGTTTCATTTAGCCATTCATCTGCTTTTTTTGTTAAATGTATAGGTATAATCTTTTAACAGAGATAGAAATCTACCTTTAATCAATACCAATTTTACTGTCATTTGCCATGTAAATACACATTTTTTTGAGGTTTATTGCACTACTGTGGTATTCCATAGAAAGTTTTGTCCTGGCATTCAGCAGGGAAAGAGTGACTGCACTTATTTGGTTGCTGCTGTGGAAGTGCTTATTATATCATTCTTCTGATGGCCTTCTTTGGATTGCAAACAGATTATGATATGATTCAGGTCATTTGGATTTTCTTGTAGCCCATAGGTAACTCAGTTGCCACGATACTGAGACTTCACTGTGTGGGAAATGTAGTCATCTGCATAGGCAAATAGTCTTTGGGTGCAAGATTT